TCTCTCTCTCTCTCTCTCTCTCTCTCTCTCTCTCTCTCTCTATATATATATATATATATATATATATATATATAATTGGCTATATCCCACACAGCTGACTATGTGGTTTGAGTCTCAGACCCAGCAGCTGCAGAAACAAGTCAGGAATATGTGCACACATGGCAAAAATTGTGAGAATGGAGAATGGATTGAAAAGTGACCTGCCCCCAGGTGCTTTCTCATTTCCCCCTCCCCACAAGCACACATACCCTTAGCAAATTTTTTTAAACTATTTTTTTTAAAAAAAAGGGGGGGGGAGGAGGGCTAGCAGGTGATGTGGTAGTTAAAGCTGGATTCCCACATGGCCAACTGTGGTTCAAATCCCAGACCCTGTGGATTTCTTTCTAACTTTAAAAATACTAATAATGATGGGGCTGGCAGGTGGCGTGGTGGTTAAGGGTGCTGGATTCCCACGTGGCAGACTGCGGTTCGAATCCTGGACCTGGCAGTTTGCTTTCTCACTTTCCCTTTCACTCTCTCTCTCTCTCACTCTGTCCCTCTCTGGTCAAATTAAAATAAACAAACAAATAAATAAATAAAGTTAAATAAAATAATTCTTTAAAAAATACTAATAATGATAAATAAAATAATTATTTTTTAAAAAAGGGAGAAGCAGAGGATCTACAGATGAAAGTATAGTTAAGAAATACATCAAGCAATATAATACTTAGACCTATTTGGATCTTAACTTAAATTGTTACTTTTTTTCAAAATTTAAGAGGTAACAGGACACTGTAAATTATATTAGGAAATTACCACTATTTTTAAAAAGTGGGATTTGTGGGTTTTTTAAAAAGCCGTATTTGGGACCAGCAGATGGCTAATGGTTAAATCGCTGGACTCTCACGTAGTTGACTGTGGTTTGAATACTGGACCGGGTAGCTTAAAACTCACGCCAGGCACATATGCATGCATGCCCAAGATCCAGAGAGGAGAATGGAGGAGGGATTGCGGTGTGGCCGTCCCCCCTGGGGTGATTTCTTGCTTTCTGTCTCTCTGTCTCTCCACTGAGCACATGTTCCCTATAGCAAAAAACTCTCTCTCTCAAAAAAAGAAAAAGCTACATATCTTTAATAGATACATACTGAAGTAATCACAGATAAAGTAAGTCCAGCAAGAGCTAAGATAAGAAGATTGGTTACGTGTTAAGGACTGTTAAATGAAGCTGGTGATATACATGAGTGCTCATTTACATGATTCTCTCTACTTCTGTATGTTTTCAATTTTCTGTAAAAAGAAAAGGAAGGTAGGAAGAAAGGTAGGTAAACATGTATGTTTATAAGTTGAGAAGACTGATGCCAGAAATACAATTAAGTAGCTGGCGCATCATATGCTTACAAATATATACACATGGGGCAGACTTGGGCTTTTGGTGTCTCCGGCTGTCACTGCAGAACCACTACCTGTCAATTAGGTGGGATATCCGTCTTTCCCTTCTAGCTCTAACAACTCTAGCGAAAGAGGCTCACTCATTCTGTCAGGTGCTGCTCTACATGGAGAGAGTGTTAAAGGAAGTTGAAGGAAAGCAAAACCAAGAGATTGAAAAATAAAATTCTCTACAGCAAGTACCCCTTTTTTTTTTTTTTTTTTGCTATAGGGTACGTGCACTCACCAGAAAGACAGAGAGAGACAGGGAGACAGCGAGAAATCACCCCCCCCCCCGGGGGGATGGCCATGCTGCAATCCCTTCTCCTCCATTCTCCTCTCGGGATCTTGGGCACGCATGCACACGCACCCAGCGTGAGTTTAAGCCACCCGGTCCGGGACTTGAACCACGGTCAACTACATGAGAGTTTAGTGACACAGTCATTATGCTAACTGCTGGTCCCCAAGCACCCTTCGAATCCCTGTGCTGAGTCATCTTTAAGGCCAAGCTTAACCCAGTAACATGAGACAATCAGTTATTCTCCTTATTTAAACCAGCTTGAATTGGGTTTCCATCACTTGTATAGAGTCCTAATACAACACATTTATACACATAGTCACTTCTATAATGAACGTCTAGCATGTTCCCTCACATTGGCAGCTCTGTACTAGGTACTCAGGTTATAGAAACAACCAAGGTATGATTGCTTTTTTTTTAAAGAAAGATTCTTGCTATAGGGCACGCCCCACACAAACCCGTAAATGGCCACACCTCAGTCTATTCTCCTCTTGGGACTCTGGGCGTGTACACACACGCAACCCGTGTGAGTTTTAAGCCTTCCTCTGGGACTCCAACCTGTCATCTACGTGGGAGTCCAGCAACGTAACCATGACGCCATCTGCTGGCCCCTGGAGATACAATTTCTGTTCCAGAGTTTTACATTCTTGAGAGGAGACAAGACTTGCAAGCAATTCTAGGACAATCGATAAATATTAAACTGAGATATACCATGTGACTTATAAAAGGACCTGCAAGGGACCAGCAGTTAGCGTAATAGCTATGTCGCTGAACTCCCATGTATTAGACCGCGGTTCATGTCCCGGACTCGGTGGCATAAACTCACGCTGGGCGCGTGTGCACGCGTGCCCAAGATCCCGAGAGGAGAATGGAGGAGAAGGGATTGTGACATGGCCATCCCCCCTGGGGGATGTGTGTGTGATTTCTCGCTTTCTGTCTCTCTGTCTCTCTCTTCGTGCGGGCGAAGCCCCCCTAAAGAAAAAAACCGCAAAAAAAAAAAAAAAAAAAAAAAGGGACCTGCGTACGAAAGAACAGACGAGACAGGTTTAACTCTGTTTAGGGACAAGGGAAGAGCTTCACAGAAGAGGTGATGCTTGATATGAGATTTGCCTAATAGGCAGAAAGATGGCCAGGACAACAGTGGAAAGGAATGGGGGTGGGGAGCGGCAGTACGGTAGAGAAAACAGGAAGAGAATGGCAAGGACCTCTGGGAGAGTTTGTCCTACTTGGAGGGGACAGGAAGGAGTAAGAATAATTGAGTGTGAGAGAACTACAACAAGGCACTTATTCAGTTCTGCAGTTCATCCTGATAAATGGCCCCCCGCAGGCAGGATGAGGGCTTGATGTAACTAGGGTGTCATGGTCTCCAATTTCAACCCACTCTGATACATTTTCCACACTGCTGCCTATCACCTTTCCCAGACAAGCATGTCCTGTCTCACTTACGTTTGCAAAATCTTCAAAGACTGTTCACACAAGGCCATTCACGACAAGACCTAAACGTTTCTGACCAGACTTCCTTGTCACCTTCCATCCTCCTGGTCCCGCCAAACTACTCCGCGTTTCCAGCAAGCCCCGCTAAACAAACGCTCCTTCCTATTCATGTCTGAAAAAGCTAGTTCGAGAGTTCTAGTCTAGCTGGCTCCACCCCACCCCCTACTAAGGAAGAAGTACCTCTCCCTTCTCTGGTTGCCATGGCAACTTGCACAGTCTTCTATGCAACACCGAGTTAAAAAGGGTTCCCGCGTCCATGTCACCCAAAGGTAAATGAGACACACAGCCCAGGGCTTACCCTGTGCCCGCTGGCTCTGTCTACACCTCTGTACACCTCAGTCCTCCACCCACGCGGAACGTCCACAGGCGCCTTCAAGCACACCCACCCTGCTTTCACCAGGGCAGCCTGATCGCACACCACGCAATGCCTGCTATGCTCTTCTCTCGAGCAAAGCCACGAAAACTCCGGGCACAGTCCGGGCAGCCCGCATCCCCCGCATCTCACACACACACACACACACACACACACACGCACGCACACGGCAACTACTGGCCGCAAACACCCTCCACTGACCCGGCCAACACGAGAAACGGGAGAGCCGCTGCTAAGTCTCACGTGACTTCTCCCGGAAACTTTTCTAACCCAGGCCCGCTAATCCAACAGCCCGGGCACCGGCACCGCAGCCCAGAGCTCGCTTCACCCGCCGCCGCGGACCGCGCAGAGAAGGGAACGTGGGGAAACGCGCTTCGGGGCGCCAGCGAGAGTGAGCGGGAGGTGGGCCTCACCGCGCGGCCGCTCCTCCGTGTACAGGTCGATGACGACGTCGCCCAAAGTGGTCTCCAGCAGAACCGCCATGGCGCCCGCTTCTCCTCTGCAACGAGCCGGGGGTTGACAGGCGCAGAGTCGTCGTCTGCGTGACGTCATCCTAGGCGCTGCGTAGGCTTGCGTCATCCAGCGGCGCCGGCACCTCAGCGCAGGTTGCTGCTTCCGCCCGCCCCAACGGCTCGCGCTTCCCCTGCCGACGAGTGCAGGTTGGTCCCGACCCCGGAGCGGCCTTTTTGAAAATCCTGGTCAGCATTTAGCGACCTGCGCGGGAGCTTGTGGCTCAGAAGGGCCTTCTGAGGGTGTTGTGTCCGTCTTGGGAACAGCATAGCCTTCCCAGCGGCCGTTCCTTTTATCCGCTGGAGGGAGTCGCTGCCCCTCTTTACCCACCTTCTTTTGGGGGCTTCTAGGAGTTTCCTAACCAGTCTTCTTTCATCGCCCAAAGGCAGAAACGTCAGGCTGTAAATGCACAAATTGCTACCCGGAAGGTGGCCAAGAGGGAGCGCTTTCCGTGGCCTAACACCAAAGAAAAGCCAGAATCCAAGTGCACCTGGGGTGGGCTTTCCCTTCCGCTTTAACTGGAAAAAGCCTCTGCTCCAGATCCCTCTTTCTGGCCCAACACTCAGCGAAAAGCCAGCTAGGGTGGTCTCTGTCCTCCGTCTTTCTCCCACCACCCCTTTTCTCTCGAAATTTTTCTCTCTTACATAATTTTTTTTTGGAGTTTGTAGTACTGTTCCTTGCCTCTGACCTTTCCTTTCTCTTGCTAGAATCAGAATCCATTTGAATCTGAAGTGGGCCTTCCCTGCCCCTTAGCAAGCCTCGCGGTTCTGATTTTGCCTTTTTATTAAATAAATTTTTCCCCTTTTATTGTTTTTCTTTTCTTTTTTTTTTGTCTTTTTCCCTTTGTTCCCCCCTCCTTTTTTTAAGGAAAAAAAAAAAGGAATTATTTAACTTTACTTATTCATTAATTTATTTTAATTTGATCAGGGAGAGGCACAGACAGAAAGTGATAAAGCAAGCCACCAGGTCCAGGACTCAAACTGTACTTGGCCATGTGGGAGTATCCAGCGCCTTAACTACCATGCCATTTGCTATTCCCTGTTTCCTTTCTTTTACCTGGCTTTCTCACCTCACCTTCCACAAATTGAGCGTCTAGGCAAGTCTGTGTTCACAGTAGCAAAACATCTGAATACTTTAAACCCGACAGCTCAATCCATGTGCCCCTATTGCCTTGAAACTGTGAGACCTTTGTAATATCCAGTTCTGTTGACAAAAGTGCAGGTACTGCAGAAAATTGCAGGCCATCTCCTTCCACGTGCCTCTAACACTCAGAATTAACTTCAAGAAGGTTGGAAGTAATGTATAATCCATTAGATGACCAGAAACCACCACTGCAGAGGCACAAGAAATATGGGAAATCAAGAAAATAACTCTCCCCCAAGAAGAAAAAACAGCCCTTCATCTTCCACAGACAGTACAATGGAATTCCTGGAAATGTCACATAAAGATTTTAGGATATTCATAGTGACAAAGCTAACAGAGATGCAAGAGAAGAGAGACAGTGAACTCCAGAAGATGCAGGAGAAAAGAGACAAGTTCCAGGAGGTGAGGAAGTTCTTCTATGATCCGAAAGAGGAAATACACACCACTAAAAAGAATCAAACAGAACTGTTAGAGATGAAGGCTATAATACAGGAAATCAAACCTCCCTTGAAAGTATTAAAAGCTGTTTAAATCACGCAGAAGATCAAATCTCAGATGTAGAAGACAGAACCTCCGACCTAGAAAATTTCACCAAAAAGACTGAGAAAATAACCCCCTCCAAAATGAGAATAACATAGGAGTAATACTAGATACCGTGAGATGCCCAAACATTTGAATAATTGGTATCCCAGAAGGTGAAGAAACTAATCAGGATATTGATAGTCTATTCCATGAAATCCTGGAAGGAAACTTTCCAAACCTAGAGAGGCACCCAAATACTCAAGAAATACAGATGACCCCAAATAGAATCAACCCAAGATCTTCTCCAAAGCACATCATAGCCAGATTGACCAAAACCACAGACAGGTCTAGCAGGTGGCATGGTGGTTAAGGTGTTGGACACTCCCACATGGACAACCATGGTTCAAGTCTATGTCCTGGCTGCTTTCTTTCTCTCTCCCTCTCTCTCTCTCTCCTGCTTTCTCTCTCTCTCTCTCTCTCTCTCTCTCTCTCTCTCTTTGTGTGTGTGTGTCTGGTCAAATTAAAATGAATGAATGAATACATAAAATTAAATAAATATTTTTAAAAACACAGACAAAGACAAAATGCTAAAATTGGCAAGAGAGAAATGACAAGTTACTTACAAGGGATATTCCATCAGGCTAATGTCAGACCTCATCAGAAACAATGTGAGCAAGGAAAGAATGGGAAAGTATATTCAAAGTGTTAAGTGAAAAATAATTTCAACCAAAAATATATCCAGCAAGAATATCCTTCAAGTGTGAAGAAAAGATACCAAAAATTCTCAGATAAACAAAACAGCCGTGGGGAGGAGGCCTGCCCTACATTGGCTTGTATGTCACATCCTTGGATTTTTGTCACTTCTTTTCTCTGACTATGAATTTCTTCTGCACAAGTGGTGGGGCAGAACATTTTGAATTAAATTTCATCGAGGTTGCCCCCTGGTTCTAGAACCTATTCGTTGCTTATCTAAACTATAATAATATTTAGCTGGCCTTAGGTTTTTCTTTTTTTAAGAGAGATTTTTCCTATAGAGACAGACAAAAACTAAGAAACCACCACCACGACCCGTATCCCCAGGGGCATGTCCATGCTGCAGTCCCTTCTCCATTCTCTTGGGATCTTGGGTAGGCACACACGCACACACACACGCCTCTGTGAGTGTTAAAGTCTCCAGGTCTGGGAATCGAACTGAGGTAGACTATGTGGGAGTCCAGTGACAACAGTTAGGCCATCTGCTGGTCCTTCAGGTTTTTCTTAAAATATCTCCCTAGTATTTTTTTGCCACCTGACTTATTTATTAATATATTTGTTTATATTTGTCTATCATTGCCAGGAGGTATGCTCCAGAAGAATGAGCAGTTTTGTGTTTTGTTCACTAATGTATCTCTAATGTATATGACCATCTGGTACTTTATAGATAAATATTTGTTGAATGAATGAATATTGAAAGTTAAATGCAGGTTAACTAATTTCTGATGGAAATGAAAAATGGTATAGCCATTTTGGGAGACAGTTCAGTAGTTTTTTTTTTTTTTTTTTTTTTCTTCTACAAAGCCAAACATTTCCCCTACCATTTAGCTATTGAGCTCCTGGATATTTACTCAAATTAGTTGTAAAGTTTTATGTACCCAAAAACCTGCACACAAATACTTATAGCATCTTTACTCGTTATTGCCAAAACATGGAAACATGCATGGTGTCCTTTGATAAGTAAATATATACATGGTGTGGTACTTTCATAAACTGGAATACTGTTCAACAAAAAGAAATGAGCTCTTAAACTATGAAAAGACTTAAAGTAGGGAACAGCAGATGGTGAAATGGTTATATCAATGGACTTCCACATGGTCGACCATGGTTTGAGTCCCAGACCCAGTAGCTTAAAACATGCCGAGCTTGTGTGCACATCCCAAAATCCTGAGAAGAGACTAGAGGAGAAGGGATTGTGGCATGGCCATCCCCTCTTGGGGATGATTTCTTGCTTTCTGTTTTTCTGTCTTTCCAGTGAGCACACATGAACTATGGCAAAAATCTCTTCAAAAAAAGAAAAAAGACTTAAAGGACACTTAGATGCATAGTACTAAGTGAATGAAGCCAATCTGAAAAGGGTACATATGGTATGCATGTAATAATATGACATTCTGGAAAAGGCAAACTATATAATGTGAATATATATATATATTTGTGTGTGTGTGTGTGTGTGTGTGTGTGTGTGTGTGTGTATTTGCCTGAAGTCATGTGCACTTGCCAGAGAAACACAGAGAAGTAAAAAGCAGTCCCTTGAAGATGGTTATGCTGTAATCCTTTCTCCTCCATTTCTCCCTCTTGGAATTTAGGGCACTCATGTGCACATGTTCCATATGTCTCACAAGCCACAGGGTTCAGGACTCAAACTGTATAGTAAGTCATGTGGTATCTAGCACCCTTAACCACCACTCCATGGACAGGCCCAGTTCCAAATCTTAAATTTTACATAGATCACACTTAACACTTTATAGTGTGTGTGTTTCTTCTTCCTCCTCCTCCCCCCTCCCCCTCCTCTTCCCTCCTCTCCCTTCCTCCTCTTCCTTTTCTTCTTCCTTTTCCTCCTCTTCTTCCTCTCTTCCTCCTCTTCCTCTCTTTCTCTTCTTTCTCCTTCTTCTTCTTCCTCTTCTTTCCCTTCTTATTTTTCTTCCCCTTCTTCCCTTCTCCTTCTCTCCTTCTCCTTTGTTTCCTTTCCTTCTCATCCTTCTCTCCTCCTCCCCCTCCTCTTCCTCCTACTTAATTGCCAGAGGATGAATCTCATCAGAGAGCACTCCTGATGGATCATAGTCATGCCTCAATCCATTCACCATTTTTCCATCCTCTCAGGATTTGGGACACATGAGCACACAGTCCTGTCATGTTTTTCGAGCCACTAGAATCAGGATTCCCATTCCCTCCATACAGCACTGAACCACCATGCTACAGGGTCAGCCACACCATGGTTTTATAGTTACATTATCCACGATTAGCTCTAAATGTTGAGTCACCATAGACAATACCTTCCACTCCTACTCTACTACACTCGACAAAAAACTTAATCCTACTATAGCAGATGATTTAAAATAGATTTCACAAGATATCAGAAATCATATTTCTGATTTATAAAACCTGTTGCATTGCTATGGTGCTTTATCAGAGATGTCTTTTTAATTTAGTTTTGCAATAAAGCATGTGTGCTCACCAGAGAAAGATCCATAGAGAGAGGGAAAATAAAAAATTATCCCCTGGTGGGGTGGCCACACCACAATCCCTTCTCTTCCATTCTCCTCATGATTTTGAGTGTGTGTGTGTGCACACACATGCCCAGTGTGTTCTTCAAGCCTCTGGGTCTGGGACTCAAATCATGAAGTTGGCCATATGGGATCTAGCCAGCCGTCTTAACCACCACATCACTGGCTGGTCCCCAAAGATACCTTAAAATACTCCTAGTTTTAAAATTACAGGCATTTTCTAA